TTTGATCGTCTACCTCAGTAGCGGGAAGTATAAAAAAAATCATCAACATATCTAAAAATAGCCTTGATCCTTGAGTCATCAAGGTTATCATTGATGTTGCTGCCAAATGCTGCCACAAAAAGATCACATAGCTGAGGAGCCATGCGAGAACCTATGCCCACGTTTTTGCACCTAACGCTGGCCTTGATGGGTGACCACTGTGGCTGCTCATTGCCATCCGTGTAAAGCCCAATACTCAACAAAATATCAGTGCTTACACGAATTAAGAATCCTTATGCACACGAAATGCTTGAGGCACTGGCAATAGAAGAAAAAACAGAAGAGTGTTAGCAACACTTCGATTGCATTCCAAGACATAGAAAAACAATATTTGCGGTGCTTCAGGCCTTCGTGAAGTGTGGTGAATGTGCAGAATTACCTTTGACTTTTAAGTTATTTACAATAATGTAGTATGTACGAAAGCTCTTTGAAGGTGGAGTACTTGGGGTTAAAGAAGAAGTACCTAGAGTTAAATTTATAGTTGTATGTCAGCGGTGTCTTTGTCCCTTTCTATCCTTTGTGTTTATGTTCTAGCAGGCGCTTATGCATAAAAACCAGTGTAGGAATTGACACTGTCAACCTCTTCTTAATATAAACAATAGTGAAACCAAATTCTGGTCACATATTTACTTTCTGAAAGGTTGTCTCTTCTACGTGTAGAGGAATATAAAAAAAAAAAAGAAACAATGAAGACATTTTTACAAAGATATTACATACCCGAAAAGAGCACACCTCAAGCAAGTACAAAGCATCTCAGAACAGGAGCAAAAGCATAGTCCAATCACTTATAACATGGAAACAACAGCCAGGAACAAGAACACGGAGCAATAAAATACTCCAAGAACCCAAGCTATAGAGAGAGTGATGTCTCAAAGCAGTTATCGTGTAAATGCATGATTCTGAGAGCCAGTGTCGTAAAGGAGGGGGATGAGTGCAGGCGTGTTAGTTCCAAGTTCTAGACACCTTTAGTGAATGCAGTTAAGAGGCATTACACAATATCAAAAACGGGTACACTGTCAACCTATAGCAAAACTTGGGCCAGTTTGCTCGAAGCTGGTAAACTTTAGCCTTGGCAGAAAGCCAACCGCATTTCCCTACAGGGAAGGAAATTTTAACGAAGCTTGTCTTGACTCCAGACAGCCAAACATTGAATAATTTGCCGAAGCCGAGTTGATTTGGCTTGCCTTACTCATTATTTTTACCACGAGCAACAAAAACTGTTTCTTGAGCTTAATGTCGGCCTGCAGGGTTGCAAAAACGCGATACCGCGAGTATTCGGGTACCCCTTTGTCAAGACATTTTCCACGAAACCTACGTATATTCACTACGACCAGCAGGTGACACGAGCTACGAACCCAGAATGAAACGCAAAGCTATCGTGCATCCAGCCCTTGTCAAACTTGGCTAGGTACTTGTATATACCTATACTCTGTTTCACCTTACGATGTACCGCAGAAAAGCCTACAAGCGCGAGCTCCTTGCTCTGGGGCAGATCTCGGCGGCACAAGCAATCGTGCATTGGGGGCAACTGCCAACGCTACGAGCTCGCGCTTCTAGCCTCCGCTGCAGTACAACATAAGGTGAAACGAAGTATAGTAGGGATTGGCAGTTAACTTTTTGCCACGGTTAAACTCAACCGTCTTCAAGCAAACGGGGCCGTGCTGGGCAGTGCGGGAATTGAACTAGCAATGTCCCAATTGGCAGTAGAAAACGCTGAGGGGCATCAAGAATTCGAAAATTGGTTCCCCATCAAGGTAAATGCCACAAAAAGACCTTTGCATGGTACAGGACCCCAAAACAAAAAAATCTCAGAAAAAGTTTCTTCACTCCTACTTCAGTACTCAAAGCTTTAAATGATGGAAGAAGTAACAGTTTCACAATTGAAACTGCCAATGTTTTATTTATTTTTTTACAGCAAAATTGAATATTTTTTTTTATCGCATTGACTTTTTGCAGATTTTTTCTGTTAGGGCTGTGCGAATATTTGAAATATCGAATATGAATAAATTATTTTCCTTATTACAAACAGATTCGATTCGATTCGAAAATTGCATATTTGGAATCTCCCGAATATTCACACAAACTGTGAATATTCGAGCTAGTAGCGAATAATCTGCCATGCATTACCCTATGAATTTGTTCATTCACTGAAAATTTGTATAATGCATTATCGGTCTGCTCCCTTTCTATCTGTCCAATGACGGCAAGACAGGATCAGTTTCGGTATCTTTTACACCAAGCCCTTTATTGTGTGGCACAATATTGTGTGGCATATGTGATGCGATTGCACATTCTATAAATTGATACAATAAAATAAACTTGTCTCGAAGTGTTATCTAATATAAATGTTCGAAAATTAAAAACAGAAAAAACTAGGTGCAAGCAGAACATTGCATTGCCATTGACAACAACTCCCGCCCCTCCCTCGCAGCCAAAACGTAAACCACACTATAGTCCGTTGCAACTCGAAAAGGTAGGGCGAAAGTAAGATGGGCGATAGAGGAGGAAGCAGACGGAATGCTAAAGGAAAGAGGAGGTTTCTCCTCTCTTCTTTAGCATTCCGTCTGCTTGCTCGTCCTCGGCTCGTCTTACCCTCGCTTTACCTTCTTGGGTTGCAACGGACTATAGCTGCGCCGCTGTGCAACTCTTAGTGCTGATATCAAAGTAGGTGATACCGCCCTCGCTCGAGTGTGTTCTCCAAGAATGGAATGAACTGCGGATGATGAGCCACCGAGCAAGCAGGGAAAGAATGGGGAAAAAGTCTTTGGGAGTACTACACAAGACTTTCGTCGTTGACAGCTCAGTACAAGTCGTGCGAACGTGTTTTTCAAATGCCGACAGGAACAACCGCAACTCCTCAAAATCATATGAAACGGCACCCTTTGTTGATGGAAGAGTACAAAAAAGATGCAGCAAACATGCCGTCGAAGAGTCAACCGGCACTGGATGATATACTTCAACAAAGAAAGCAGCCCTTGTCACTGAAGAAAGAAAACTCAGTTCATGATAAAGTAGCAGAGGTCGTCCCCTTAGATCTCCACCCTTACAGCTTTGTTGAAGATCGGGGTTTGAAGGCACTCAAAAAAAGCCTTACCGGGCTCGTCCGCCATCTCAAAGAAAATTGTAGCGCGTGCTCGTCCCGCGCCTGTACGACGACACGAGAGCAAAGGTATGGTACGAGCTGCGAAAGGCACTTGATGACGGAAATGAGAACACTCTTTTACGAGCGATATCTGGACCTCACAAACGACGAGGGCTTTTTAGCCTTGCGTGCAACTTTCTCACAGTGCAATTAGAGATGAAAAGGTTCCATTCGAACACGCGACATATGCCGGAGAGTCGCAGGGCAGTGAACATCGTTGCTTCATTGGTGCACTTATGTGCCAACTGGGAGATACCGGACTGCTTGAAGTACATTGTGACAGACAACGGCAGCAATATCCGAGCGGCTGCCAGGAGGCTGCCATGGTTCGAGCGAGCCTGTTTCGCGAAAACAGTGCAGAAATGGGTCTGTAGCCTGAACAACCTGCTTGTTGCATGACTTGACCAAGGGGATGATTTTACCTGACTTACAAACATGATGGACCACAACTCAAAGGAGTGCAGCTCGAGCGAGGGCAAATGAGCTTTGAAGAAGAGCTAAAGCATGACCCAATGTGCATTCAGATGCCGAACATATAGTATAATGCTCTAAAAAACGTTGAACAAAGTTTCCCATTACATTGCCCAGCCTCTAGATTGCAGCTGGCAAGGAATCATTCCCTACTCAATACATGTGTGTGATGACAAACGGAGGCATTTGGACAAAAGACTCCAGAGCAATATGCCAGACAGTCTGACCCTGTGTGTACAATCTCTGACCCACCAAACTGGAATTCAAACTAAACCTTCTCAGATATTACTGGCATTTTAAAGAGCTAATAGCTGCCAGTGTTTTATGAAAGTGCCCCTGGAGGTTTGTTAACCTCCTCTGGTGGCATGTGCTTCGTGAAAAAAAACCGTTGAGAAAATTACCTTGGACGTTGCTGGCTTTTGTAAGGTCTACTGCAGAAAAGCGCTTCAGTCCGGCGAGTTCATTAATCAAAGCAATGGGCATGAGATTTATCTTGCACTCAGGTATATGCATATTTAAATAAAATGGCATACAATTCTGCATGGCTGAAATATTACACACATTATAAAGTATGGCAAACAACTTGCAGGTCAACTGCAAAGAATTCAGCATGTGTACATCTAAGGTTTTTCAACAATGTGTCCGATAATGGCGGGTCGGATAGATATTTTGAGAAAAGGTCTTGCACTTAAATGGCTTTTCACCAGTGTTTGATTATGAACTTTCACATCTACTTTCCGAGCACAGGCTTGGGGGCAAAGCTTGCACTTAAATGGCTATTCACCAGTGTGTATTTTGTTATGCATTCTCAGAACTGAATCCCGAGCAAAGGCTTGGGGGCAAAGCTTGCACTTAAATGGCTTTTCACCAGTGTGTGCTAGATTATGATCTCTCAGATGTGCATTCCGAGCAAAGGCTTGGGGGCAAAGCTTGCACTTAAATGGCTTCTCACCAGAGTGTGTTTGGTTATGCCTTCTCAGATCTGAATTCCGAGCAAAGGCTTGGGGGCAAAGCTTGCAATTAAATGGCTTTTCACCAGTGTGTGCTAGATTATGATCTCTCAGCTGTGCATTCCGAGCAAAGGCCTGGGGGCAAAACTTGCACTTAAATGGCTTTTCACCAGCGTGCGCTAGATTATGATCTCTCAGATGTGCATTCCGAGCAAAGGCTTGGGGGCAAACCTCGCACTTAAATGGCTTTTCATTAGTGTGTGTTCGGTTATGCCTTTTCAGAGCTGAATTCCAAGCAAAGGCACGGGTGCAAAGCTCGCACTTAAATGGCTTTTTACCAGTGTGTGCTAGATTATGATCTCTCAGCTGTGCATTCCGAGCAAAGGCCTGGGGGCAAAACTTGCACTTAAATGGCTTTTCACCAGCGTGCGCTAGATTATGATCTCTCAGATGTGCATTCCGAGCAAAGGCTTGGGGGCAAACCTCGCACTTAAATGGCTTTTCATTAGTGTGTGTTCGGTTATGCCTTTTCAGAGCTGAATTCCAAGCAAAGGCACGGGTGCAAAGCTCGCACTTAAATGGCTTTTCATGAGTGTGTGTTAGGTTATGACTTCTCAGAGCTGAATTCTTAGCAAATGCTTTTGGGCAAAGCTTGCACTTAAATGGCTTCTCACCAGTGTGTGTTTGGTTATGCCTTCTCAGAGCTGAATTATGTGCAAAGAATTTTGGGCAAAGCTTGCACTTGAATGGCTTTTTACCAGAGTGTTTTTGAGTATGGTCCCTCAGAAGTGATTTCCGAGCACAGGCGTAGGGGCAAAGCTTGCACTTAAATGGCTTTTCATTAGTGTGTATTTGGTTATGCCTTTTCAGAGCTGAATTCAGAGCAAAGGCCCTTGGGCAAAGCTTGCACTTAAATGGCTTTTCACCAGTGTGTGTTTGGTTATGCCTTCTCAGATCTGAATTCCGAGCAAAGGCTTGGGGGCAAAGCATGCACTTCAACAACCTATCGCTTTTGTGCTTTCGAGTGTTGCTTGGCACTTTGGACCTAGAGCGAGAGGACTTGGGAGTAAGATGGCTTTTGAATTGTTCATCGCCATGTGCAACCAGGTGGCCCACGATTCCATGCTGATCTCCAGTGACATAGGTGCAGGAACAGCACCTGAACGAAATGTCCTCGATGACTTTCAATGGGCTGCTGGTTTTCCCTAATGGTGCAGCTCCATAACCTACAATAAAATCTTATATTAGCACACAAGAAATGCCCAACAAAGATATGTCTATCAAAAGTTTGATATCCATGGTACTTAGAAGCTTGTTTTGACAAGATTTTGTTTTCCCAACAAAATATTTTTCCTGATAAAGAAAATGCATTTTACTGTATTTTTTATGTAGAATTTGGATATTTTAGGGGGCTGGCTACCTCATTAATCAAAAAGTGAAACAAGAACAAGATTTCAGGAGAGTGTTAGACATGAGGTTTTACAACTGGCAATAACCTAATGACTCTTTTCTAGTTATCATTGAAAGAATTTCAGCATGCAATGTAGTCATCTCTTGCTAACATGGATGCACCACTGTACAGACAAAGTGGGGGGGAGGACAGATCTCTCTTCATGCAATTATGTCTCATTAATGTAGAAACTTGTGGTCCAGATTACAAACACCTAGTTCTTGGGAAAAACTGAGTAAATACATGCTGAGTTTCCCTACTGTCTACCGTTGCGCTTCCTTCGAAAAAAGATAAGACCTGGGCACCAAGCAATGGTTTAGCTTTTCATGGCTTTCCAGTCAAATGGGTCAGCTGTCCTTATCTCCGCATGTGTCACGGCCATGAATGACAAACCTGAAGAACATTCGTAGGTCATGTGTATGTACACCTTGATTACAGGGTGTTCCCGAGCACTATGCAGTAGTAAAAAATGCCATATAAATAAGCCAATGAACACAATGCAGTGGAACTTATCACAAAGGTTCATTTAGGTGGTTCATTTATTATAATCAATTTGTTTTTAGTGTGGGTTACTGGGAAAAAAAATAAAAACTAGCTATTACCTATGAATGGGAGGAAAACAGAAGCAAACTGTCTCGACGCTGCTATTCACATATGGTGCGACACCTCGCGCCTAAAAACGATTGACGTTGTCCATGTCCCCATGTTGGCCATGTCCCGGAGCAGACGACACACTATTTTCTCGACAACTGAGGCACTTGTAGTTGCCGCATTACACCCGTGGCCGAAGCACCTTTGCCACCCTCTGTCGCTCTGCACATCCTCTCACCACCTTCGCCCATATTGTGAATACGCTCAAGTTTTGAAGACGGCCGTCCAAACAAGAGCACAAAAATCACGCTCGGTATATGTGCTCTGGAAGCTGTACTTGTGTGATCCGAAACAAGAGAAATATGTGTCTGTATGGACTGCGGTTTAACACATGGCACACTTCATTTGCGCATAGTGCCCAGATCCCAGCAAATAAATAAATTAAAAACAAACAAAAAGAGAGGGACAAATGCCAGAGTAAGAAAGAGAGCACGATGAAAGGAAATACAAAAACTGAGGCGGGGGCTAGACCGATGGTCACATGATCTGTTATCGTGTGACTGCCCCTCACCGGCATGCAACAAAAAGGCATCCTGGTGCAGTGTATTTTATCTTCGAAATTGCACCGACTCCGTGCACCACCACCGAGATGCACTGCACACTGTTTCGGGACAATTCCGGTGCAAGTTGATCGGAAATGCTACGAGATAATGAGTATGATTGCAAACAGTATGAGCTGGAGTTCCCGGAGCGTGTGGCCTTCGATACATGCAGTGCAATGTCCAGGCTGATAAAACTGTTGAGTGGAGAGGGGGCTGCGAAAATGTGCGCTTTCTCCGGTGTGCACACCTCTCCACATACTGTTTCATAGGCCTCAAGTTAGTGCAGAATATATCGAAGGCCACGCACTCAAGCATTTGTGCCCATACTCTTCACAATAAAAAAAGATAGTGAGGAGCGTAAATAAGACAAGAGTAACAATACCCTCAACAGTGATGTGATTGGCCTAAGCCATTTTGGAGCACCTTTCGGAGCAGCCAAAACAGTGTTTTGGAGCAGGAAAAGCGGTTTTTGGAGCAGCCAAAAGAATGTTTCGGAGCAGCAAAAGTGAATTTTGAAGCAGATATTCTTAGAAAAATAAAAATATTTGTTTTAAGTGCTGTACAAACGAAGGGCACTTCGTGTTCTGTTCCGTTCTGATGTGACTTGTTGTGGCGAAACTCGCTGCTCGCGGTTTTACTGCTGAGACATCCCACAAGTGTACAGTGCTGTAGGCATTGCCGAGCAATTCCGAAAAACAGCATGCCACCGTTTTACTGGTTCCCAATGTGCCAAATTTTCTCAAAAAGTAAGCAAACGTAAAACAATGGATTGCAAGCGTCCCGACTGGTGCCTCTGTCCTGCAATCACGTTCGCATGCACGTGAGGGCAACTTCGGCAGGCTCGCAGATGCGCGTCTTCGTCGCGCGAGCAAAGGCAATGGCTGTTTGATTGAAGTCGAACCACCCCAAATTTATTCCTTCATTCAGGCCACTCTGCTTTGTCGCCAACTGATTCCCAAAATTGTATGAAAAATAAAACTGTCCAGCATACGACAAAAAACAGTCGAGCGGCACGTTTTGCAAGGCCGGCAAACAAAGTACAAGCTAAACAAAAAAAAAATTGTGTGTGTTGAGGCAGGACATCGCGAGCCAGGGCCAAAAGTTCTTGGAGCGCTTTGTGCAACCACTGAACTCGAGACAAACAAGCGCGATGTGCGGGTTCAGCGTGCATACATTGCCTTCGTTGTTTTAGCTCACCTCTCTTCACCAATTTTCTTTCGCGGCAGATTTTTAAATACCGGAATCTCTCTCCAAAGAAAGCCCAGTGAGAGAACCTAGGAAATCAATACTTCGACACAACAGTCCGAGTTAAAAGTGATTTTTTTAGTAACGTATGATTAAAACAAGAAAAGGAATGTTGATGAACATGCGGCAGTACTTAGTTTCATTTTAGAAAGCGCCATATCTACGGCGACGTGGGGGACGGCAACACCCGACGTTGCGCGACCACGGTGACTGGAAGGCAGGGACCAAATATAGTGTCCCACGGCCGTTGCTTTCAGGAGTGAGTGCTTCAGCTTACAAAGTAACTCACGCCGCGCAAAAACGTGGTTGCGTTTCACAGCATGACGGCATGGCTGGTACCCGGCACTCTAGCGTCGGAGCATCCGCGCACACTGTTGAAAACATTAAAAAAAAAGACGCGAGACGAAAAACACGAGACGATGAGAGTGCGAAACGTGAGACGGCAGGAAAACCAGGCAAGACTGGATGGGCGCATGCTCAATTGCGGTACTCAGTTGCGTTACGGTTTTGAAAGGCGACCAAAATTGGTGTTTTGGCGCAGGCTTGGCGCAGATTACCCATATTTTGGCAAAATGTAGCAGAATGTAGCAGGGTTAGCCACTTGGTGCAGTTTGGCGCAGCAATCACATCACTGCCTCAATGAAACAGTTTTGTAAGAAACCAGAATACTACCAAAGCCTTTTAAACACAGTATCTTGAGAAGAGTATTTGAGGTAGGTACAAGCCAAAGTGAAACTAACTAACCGTACTGATAATGATACTTGCTGATACTAACCTCTCATATATTTGTGCCACAACCTCAAACTTGCTTCACCCTCTGTAAAATGACTAGCGTATAATACTCTTATAAGTTCCAAGTTAGAGTATGCCTCATTTATATGGTTTCCATGGCAGTCATACCTTAGAAGTCCATGTACAATACATTCAAAACAAAGCCCTTCGTTTTATTTATAACTACTCACATTCACTTTCCCTTCACCGCCGAGCGTCACACATCTCTCTCCTTCATTGAATTTTCTAGCACAATACCCACCTCAAAGAGCCATCACCTCCTGACCATATTTTCCCCCATTTAGATCATCCAACTAAATTAGGTTCAATTCAACCATCAACTGTTTTTCACCACACTTCCACACCACCATTAGCTATCAAGGGTTAGAACTCACCACCTCGCAACATCATTTCTACAAACTATAGTACTAAACTTGTTGAAACCATTACCCTCTTTCTATCTAACTTAGATAACTAGCTCACAATGTTATATTTGTGTTCACAGTACTTTTTTTTTATTGCAAACCCCTTGTATAATGCCCCACGAGCACTCAAAGAAAAAAATGATGATGAATGATGGTAGCAGGATTGCTAGGAGTTTGAATTATTGATATTGGTATTCTTTATTTAACCCAGGAGTGTTTACCTTGGAACACTTACATGGTATTCCAAGGTAAACAAACAAGTAATGGCGGAACTTCCTGTGGCCGCGATGCCTTCCGGTTGACCAGCTTAATCTGTTTCTATGAGCAAGAATGGGTAGAGCGTCATCTAAGTTTTTCTCGGGAGAAAATCAAAAAAGGTATGTCAAAAACCGGACAAAAGACAGATCAATCTGTTTCTGGACCGTACGACACCAAGAAAAAGCATCACATCTCGTTTTATTTGACCTCCATCGCGAAAGTTACATGTCCGTACTTGAGATCGGTGGAAAGTTGTGTACATCTGAGACATTCAAAGAAGTTAGACACCCACAGACGAACCGAGACGTAATTATTTTGTCTTTTTAGTGCAGAGGCGAGTGCAGTGTTCGAGCTGGCCAAAGCTTAACTACACTATGCCTGTCAGACGCGGATATAGGAGGGTGTGAAGGATTCTGCCACCCGCACTCGATCGTGCACCAAAAAAAGCGAGCAGCGTGTTTTCGACGACGAACAGAGATATTGTGATTAGGACGTCTACCTACTGCGGCGATCCTGTGAACGATATTCGCGTGGACACAGGTGCAGACGCGGATGTCAAAAGGCTATTTTAGATTCTAGACCCGGGTGATAAGGTAAGAAAACTAGTTTCACATCAGACTTGTTACGATCATGCGGCACCTGGGGACGTATCGTATTTCTTCTAACAGTTCTTTTCGGGCAGACACACATAAGCGCTGTTGTGTTTGACGGCAAGGGCGAGTCATAAATAGAAAGAATGGTACCAGTGGTTTCGTGCTATGTTTCACGTCTTGCTTTAATCGTGTCACAAACCGGCGCTTTATTGCATGCTGAAAAAAAAAATCTGACTATCTTAGAAAGTAAAGCTTCTGTTTCATGTGAAAAAATCTGAAGGCATCAGCTGACACAAACTCTCAAAATGTATGTTTTCTTTTTCTTTCAGTTTGTGCGTGAGTTTTAGCTGGAATTTCCACAGGAATCTTGCGAAAATCGCCTGTTTACAAGCTCGCATGCACCCGAAAATTAACGTCAGTAATGACTCTGCTCTAAGATTAAACTAGAAATGATAAACACGATAATTAGAATTATTATATATTTTATGCAGTAACAAGTTTGTCTAAAATATAAAATTATATTTGGGCCAATATGATTAATATTTCGATAATTCTTTTATTTGCGTAAGAACTCAAGTGGTGACTCGCTCTATAAGTTTCTTCGCTGTTCTGAAGAGTGAGATATGTGCATCTTTGATCTAAAATTAAGTGATCCTAGTGCTCAGTTTTAAATCAACGCACATATGACAGCAACTGTCCGCGCTCTTTGGCCGCAGAGTCGCAGCTCGTTGCACCTTTTATTTTGCGGAGATCTGTCATAAAAAAGTTTCCGTCAATTACAAAACGCAGCATTTCAAGAAGCCAGTGGATGTGGAGAGCACAACAAAAGACCGATTTAACTGCGGAACAAACAAAACTTTAACGGCGACGTTGCTTTTAAAAGAATGTCAACACTAACCGAACCGGAAGTGTTCTCGGCCCCCTGTCACGGCGGCTCTAAGTGGCCCGAATACTCTGACACAGGGTGTGCGGAGGTAAACAAAAACAAATATTGACAGAACTTTTGGGAGGGGATATGCTACTTCCGGTTGGCTATTGTTTTTCCTTGTTTTCGAAGACACATACGGAGTAGCGAGTACTTTAAAAGTCTCACCGTCAAATGCTACCTGCGCTACCTCCTAAAATTTCGTTAGACGGGGTCGCATGGGTGAAAAGAAAGTGCACTTGTTTTTTAAAGAAATAACAATCTGTCGAAGCTATCATGGAGGATCTTCAGAACTACATGTTCAACTAGCCAAGCCCATACATCTGAGAACGACTTCAAGCTTACAAATCCCTAACACGTTCAATCACCCCTATGATGCCTCGAACACTTTGCTAAAAACTGGCAGTTTGTACGAAAATCTAAGAAAACATTCTCTAGGCCTCAAGATATTTGTTGTTCTCCACCTTCCTGAATGTTTTCAACAGTATGAAATACTGAAGAACTATCGATTGGACACATCAGATTGCAAGGAACATTGTGCGAGTAACAAACAATATCTGGAGGATGAGTGAATGTTTTCTCTAATATTTGTGTAAAATACAGATCTTCAATAAAATTTTGTGGCACTATTTAAAAAGAAAAAAAAAATGAGGTTAATTGTTATGAAACACCTTCTATACTGGTCATTTGTTGCCAACATTGGCCCAGAGCCTGGCAGAAAGCCTGTTCCTCTAGCTTGTCTTCCCCTTCACATGTATAGGAAACCAAAACTTACATTGCCCAGTACTTGCTTGTAACCGCCATAAATTTCTCGGAAAATTCAACTGTGCTCTTTGTCTTCCTTCCCTCGAAGCCCAACCCACACCACCATGCACATCTTCATCTGGGCTGGACTGAGAAGCATCCCTGGTGGGGGACCCCCAAATCGACATGAACCCTTAACAGTCTGCAGAAAGCTGAACCAGAAGTGCTGCTCTAGACTATAACCGCCTAGAGTCTAGACATTGCCAATGTCCTCTGCTAACAAAAGAGGTTGAAATGCAAAACTTACCACGACTTGACGACTGGATCGGTTCCATTCGAATTGCAGTATGCGGCCAGGTTCGTAAGTAGGCTTGTAAGATCACGAAGGATGCACGGGACCATGAGATGACTAGGACCTAAGGCAAAGAGCAATGACATTAATTGTAAAGAAAGTGAGCACCCCTCCAAGCATGTCAAGCTAGCCAGAAAACTTTGAAGATAACACGAAGAAGACGCACTTAGGACTTTGCTATTTCGAGATAACAATGACGAATAGTTGAGAAAATGGAATCATTCTGTGCCTAGCAAAGCAGAGAGCAAGTTTGTCTGCTGCTTGAGCAGGGGTTGCGGTGACGTCAGAATGGCGAGATTTGATTAGACCTCAGAGCAGCTTAGCATTGAGATCTGCCCCCTATCTCTCCACCAGAGCCAATCAGAAGTCGGCGTTGTTACAGCAGTGCAACCCCTGCGCAAGAAGTAGACAAACTAGCGTTCCCGGCGGCAGCTTGAGTCGCCCAACATGAACTTAGAAAGTATGCTAACATAATCAGTTTCTGTCACATTGCTAGTACAGTAAAAGTCTCATCAGTAAAGAGGTTAGGACTTGCAAAAGATAAAACCTGAAATAACTATGCCACTGAAATCCACCAGTTTTCCCCGTATTTTTGCTACAATTGTTTCGTAAACAGAGCTTTAGTTTTGTGGATAAATTAGATTGAACAGCAGGAACTACCCATTCAAGAAGGCCGCCATGTTCCTCTTTGCATGAAACATTTTGAGTGTTGCTTCATGCTCAACATAACGGACATTCATATTGTCACAAGTGACAAGTGATAGGGTGGCGAATATCTGAAGAAACTAAACGTTTAATGGGGCGAACTTGTGCCCAAAACAAAACAGAGGTCGCAGGCATCTATGTCGGCGAAACAGCAAGATTGAGCGCCGAGGCGAGACTGCTTGTGGTTTGGCACGCAAAGCCCCTTATATACACGCGTGGGCTTCTAAAACAATCGGCATTGAAGGGTCGGCGTGTAGAACATTAGGGCCTCGAACAAGCAACAGGATTCTCGAATTTACCAGAACACTAAATTGCAAGAATAAACAAAATATGCATTGCTCCCACGAATCGAACCCTGGCTCTTCGCGTGGGAGGCAAGCACGATAACCGTTAGGCCACGGCTGCGCTGCCTACTTTTCCAGTTGTGCGCGCGGTGTTATACCAGCCATTTCTGGAGATACTTTAATAAATTCCTTTAAATAGTGAGGTTGAGAAAAAAAAACTCTTTTCAAGATCAAACTGCTGTCATCGAAAAATTCTAAATTAGTCAAATTCACAAGACTGAAGCATAGGGTGCGTTAAAATTTTCGCTCGTGCTGCAGGTGGAAGGCTGCCAATGCGAAGGAGGGTGATTTTGTTACCAACCGCATTTTGGCATCGCCTGACTTCCACCTGTGGCACGAGTGAAGTTAAGCGCATTTCAACGCCTAGCACCTGCCGTCTTTCTTAAATTGACTGATTTTGTTTTCACCGATACTCGAGTTCCTTGTAAGAACCATGTTTATTTATTTGCTACTTAAAAAGCTAATTACCAAATTTTAGGTAACAACTTTGCTAAGTAATGCGACTCATTGAAACACCCGACTTCTCCCGTGTCTGGCAGTTTGTTCCCGAAAAGAGTTTCTTTTTAAACCACCCTATGTGAGGGGATGTTTGTAAGTGCAGAAAAGGCCGGTATAGTCTGCAATGCAGTGACATACTTTGGAAGATGCGGTTTTCGCATCACTGCACCAGGTCTTACGCCAGCAGGGGAGAAGAGATGATGCAGTGCACTAGTAAGTACCCAACACATGGTCCAAGCTAGATCGATCAATCAGGGGTGGAAGCAAGCTTCAGCCTCTTGTAGAAGGTCTGGGAGCAGCAAAGATCAGTGGCGGATCCAAGGGGGGAGCGGTGGAGGCAATCGCCCCCCCCAAACGCCTCGCCAGGCAACCCCCCCCCCCCCCCCGGAGTTCTTCGTCAGCTCGAAGAAAAAACACAAGCAATCGACGCGAGGGACAAAAGACTAAAACAGCGGTGGGTGGACGCGCCTGCTGGGCGCTTCCAAAGTGGGGTTTATCTCCGTCAAGGTCATGGTACATCTTCCCGACAGGGACGGCGCCAGGAGTTTCGAAGTGGAGAGACAGTGGGGAGGCGCACCAAATATCAGGGTCCTCGACTGCAGGCACACTTCCAAACAAGGCCAGCACGTCGAGCATGGGGGCAAAATACGTTCAACATAACTAGTCCCCTTTCTCTCTCTCTGCCTCCCTCTCTCTCTTTGGAGGTTGTCTGCGAAAAATTTGTGCCCTGAAAACTCCCAAAAGCAGACACCAAGCAGCCTTCCTCAAGGGTGCGATCCTATACACAGCGGGTTATCCTTCCTCTCTAGCGGCCGCCTTTTTATCACTTTTCGTTTGATGGTTTCTTCGTGGTTCTGGGCTTGTCTTTTGGCATGTCTTTTTGGCTTGCTTTGCGATGCTGTCACCCACAGGCTCACTAAAAGTATCTTATTGGCACGGTGTGCTCATTGCCAAGGGAAGTGCGGAGGGGACGTACCAGGAGAAGACGTACAACCAGGTGACCAATTGCTTTTCTTCTCAACAGAGAGGAAGCAAATGCTCTGGGTACAGTGTAGTCTGGGTCTGAGCTTCTCTTGAAGACGCTCCGGACTTCCCCACGACCTTGGCTTAAACATAAGTCCGCTTTCGTCCTCGCCTCCATCCCTCACTGAGGATCAGCGCCGCAGCGCGGAATACAGAAAGAAGCCGACGAGCGCCAGAAGGGGGAGATGTTTCCTCGAATGGGCTTCATACTGCCTGCGGTACGACTTCTCGTGGCGGGAAGCTAATAAAAGAAAGATAAACGGTACGAGCCCTCTAAAGGCTGGAGGCCGCTTACACGGGGTCCTCAAGCCGATGCCGTAGGCATTTATTTGTATACAATGCCGTTTCAACTTAGCGTGGCGGGACTATCTTAGGAAAAGCGCCCGCTACCCCTTGTCTCCCCTTGGCGCCGTCTTTACTTCCCGAGTTAAATGCGGCTTCTGTGGATCGACGGCAGAGCTTTCGCGCGGCTTTGCAGGAGCGAATATGTGTGTGTCGAACGGAACAGAGGCGGGGATTGCTGCAACTGCGGCTTCGAATTCCCTACCTAGGGACTTGCAGAAAACGATCCCTTTCAAAGATGCGACTATACATGAATTAAATAGACAATGCCTCTGCCCGTTCGAGTGAACACCGACTCCCAAACATCCATGTTGCAGTCATGATCGGCCTTTAGCCCAGTTGAGATTCGCCGACCGGACAACCGCTCTGCCCCATTCATATCTCTGCACGTGTCCTCTCGACCCTGACGAATGAGCTAACTACCCAGAAACAATTAAGTGTTCCTTTCATACAGAAAATATCCAGACGAAGTGCAATTTAATATAATTTGGAAGGACCCATTGCTGGTTTAAGGTCTTGTCTAAGTTTAAAGGGTATAGTTGCCGAACTACAACATGCTTTCAAAAATATTCAGCAATTATTCGCTTTGGTTCTCTCGAGTTGCATCCAGAACACGTGAAAACATGAGTCTGGGTTGGAAATGCCGCATGTGCTGCGCTCTGGACATTCCAAATTTACGGCGAACAAGCTACGAACTTGCAGCGTTCGTTTCGCTAGCTGCGTCAACAGTGTTTTGACGCCGCGAGCAGCGTCGAAGCCGCCGGGCCATTTTTGTCGCTTGTTTGCAACGTACTCGCTCCATCGAAGCAACCGGCGACATTGAAACGTATGTTTTAAAACCACGTTCTGCATTTTGGCACTGAATATAAAGTTCTAACTACTATGCCAAGCTTAATCTCAAAGAACAGCCGAGTTTTAGATTAAAACGTTTTTCGCATTGTCATTAGCTGCATGAGCTTCCTCCGTATAGTTGGCAAAGGTTGGCTCTCCGTACATGCTCTGCGGGTCTAACGAGAATAAATAAATATTCAAGCAAAAGGAGCCCAAAAGTTGTAGCCCCGCCGGGGATATCTGAGCCATCAAGTTACACTGTCTGCAATTGTCACAGCCGCTATAGCACCAAACATTCATCCCCAAGTAGCTAAACTTCTTTTTCTGTTTCTAGCGCGCTGCCACGCGAATGGAGTAATCCCGTTTCCTATGAACTACAAAATTCCTTGCGTTATGGTGTTCAGAAAGGATAGTGCCACCACAATTTTCTACATACTTACCTCTAGCGTGGTCACCCGAACGGTTTTAATTCAAAGAGTTCATGCCCAACAGGGAAACCGATCCAAAAGCTCTCAAGATCTATATTATGTTATCAAAGTTTAGTAAAAACAATAACTCCAAAAAAAGATATAAATACTCCCCCCCCCCGGCCGTTTTACACCGAGGAACCGTCCCCCCTAAAATGGAGGTCTGGATCCGCCCCTGGCAAAGATGCCTCTTCGAAGCAGCTTTAGGGGCAGTTTAAGTTCTGCTTTGGAGCAGCTCAGGACCCAAAAAGTCAATTTTCGTAGCAGTATAAGTGAATCGTGGAGCTGGTCACGCACGTAAAACTTGAGGCTATAAGCGCAGAAGTGCTTTTCTATATACGAAAATATCGCAACGAAACAGCACCTTTATGCGACGCTCCAGAACCATTTCCAAACATACCTTTTCCTTAAATAGAATCCAGATCATAGCATAAAAAGCAAACAGCGTAATTGCAATTTACCTGAATGGCAGGTATTGAGAACTGCACTAGTAGCGGGTGGTTCCTTTTATGAATTTTCAATAGAAGGCAGTCAACAAAAGAACCACAACTTAAGCCTCATGAAAACAAAAAGTGACTGTGTTTATCAAGAGTTCCATGAGTTGAAAACAAAACCATTTCAAGATGCAATAGTATGTATGAAATGAAGCCCAATAATTACTGATTCTAGTTTTTATTATTAGGAAATACAATGTTTCACATACCTGTTTAGCAAGCATAAATGTATTCTAATACTAAACTTAACAGAGTACAAATCTACTCATCTTATAAAAGTGCAAATGCAAAATATGGAAAATTTCATGACATCATCTCTGTCCATACATATGCCCTTAAGTCCTCACTATAACAAGCACGACTGTATAGAATAAAAAAAAAAATCTTGTCTAATAGCCTCGTCCCACTAGAGCGACAAACACCGATTTTTGACCAGCGACACCACAAAGTTCCGCGTCGCTGATGCTGTGCCACTGTAATGACCAATGCTCGCGACAAACGCCGACAAGCGCCAACAAACGATTCGACAACGGACAAGCTCTTGTCTGTCGTTGGACTTGAAGCGCAGCAAGCAGTCCCACCGAGGAACATCGCTCGGAGACAAGCTTATCCTTCTCGTCCACTTGTGCCATCTGTTGCCTCTCTTCCCACCCTTCTACCCTTCCTCCCGTGGCTCGCTCCGCCGCTCAGCTTTCAGAGAACTCATTGGCTGCCACTGGTCATTCCTGCAGTTCCGGTCCGTCGATTGCTTGTAGTGGTCGCGGGCGCGGTTTGCTTGCTGGCAGTCATGTTGCGAAAGGGAATTTGCTGTGGCTCGTTTTGCTCGCGAAAACTTGGTGCGAGACGTGGTGCTTCTAGACGCCGAGGTCTACGCCCCTGCATCAGGATGATACACCCATGTTCGAGGACTGACCAAAATAGGATCGCTCACCGTGAAGTAGGGCACGACATTCCACAGCAAGCCATTCTCGCAGACAAGAGACTTGTCATCACGTTCTGTAATAATCGGGATGCCGTATTGTCCCCCAAAAAATGCCTGGCCTCCATGATTTGGATATGAAGTTACAAACATCCTCAAAATCAGCGTGAAATATACCGTGGCGCTCGCCTAGAATGCCTTGAACGACCCAAAAAAGGAATGATTTGGTCAATTCGAGTTAAGAAAAAATTTGGAGTCGATTGTCACGACTGTTTGCAGAAATCCGCTAACCCCAAAAGAGGAGAAGCGGAAGCTTCTCCTCTTTTGCTTTAAAGCTTTAATCAAGGAATAAAGTAATCGTCTCCACTTTCACCATATTTGTCGGCGCGTTTTACGCCCAAAAAGCGAAACCCGGAAACCGCGTCGCCAGACTCTGTTTGTCTGTGTATTTTGAAGTGTATTGTTGACGACTCCTGTCCCACTAGGAAACAAGTTTCCTTGTCCCTGTGTTCTACATAGCATCCGCCCAGGTGGGACGGCAGACTCCGACAAACAGGCTGTCTGTCGGTGTCGTCTGTCGCTGTTTGTCGTTCCAGTAGGACGTGGCTATAACCTCGTCCCACTAGAGCGACAACACCGATTTTTGTTTGACGACACCACAAAGTTCCGTGTCGCCTGTCCCACTGCAATGACCAACACCCACGAATATCGCCGACAGACGAGTTCTTGTCTGTCGTTGAACTTGAAGCGCAGCAAGCAGTACCATCGAGGAACATCGCTCGGAGACAAACTTATCCTCCGCCCGCTTGTGCCATCTGTTGCCTCTCTTCCCACCCTTGTACCCTTCCTCCCGTGGCTCGCTCCGCCGCTCAACCTTCAAAGAAGCCCTTGGCGGCCACTCCTCGTTCCCGCAGTTCTGGTCCCTCGATTGCTCGTAGTGGTCGCGTGTGCGGAATGTGATGACGAGAGACCCGTCATCACGTTCCGTGATAATCGGGATGCCGTATTGTCCACCAAAAAACGCCTGCCCTCAATCATCCAAATATGAAGTTATAAACGTCCTCAAAATCAGCGTGAAATTCCGTGGCGCTCACCTAGAATTCCTGGAACGACCCAAAAAGGAACGATTCAGGTATTCTAGTTCGGAAAAAGTTTGGTGTCGGTTGTCACGACTGTTTGCGGGAAGTCGCCAACGGCAAATGACGAGAATCGGAAGCTTTAATTAAGAAATAAAGTAATCGTCTCCACTTTCACCGCGTTTGTCGGTGCGTTTTATGCCCAAAGAGCAAAACACTAAAAGCGCGTCGCCAGACTCAGTTTGTCTGTGTATTTTAAAGTCTCTTGTTGATAACCCCAGTCCCACTCGGAAACAAGTTTCCTTGTCCCCATGCTCTGCGTCGTGTCCGCCAGGTGGGACGGCAGACTCCGACAAACAGGCTATCTGTCGGTGTCGTGTGTCGCTCGTTGTTGTGTGTCGCTGTCGTTTGTTGCTGTCTGTCGCTGTAGTAAAACGCGAATATAAGAGTTTAAAAAAAAGAAAAAGTGACAAACGAAACTAGCCAGTACGACCATAAAACAGCAGGTTTTCCTCATAGTCAATTTTTTTTATGTGTTCTAGCACAACAGTATAGAGTTTGCGTTGTTCAGAAGGAGATTCTCACGATTCGCATTGTCCTCGCGCCGGCTGGCTGTTTGTGTGCCAGTGCGTGTATTCGCCACGTACCTCATTTACAAGAAGAGCTTACAGAAGAGGCAACCAATTATCGCTTTTATTGTTACACTTACAACATGAATGAGGAGCGTGGAAGGGATCTCACCAAAAACAAACACCTATAAACATTAACAAAAAAAGATACAGTGAAACCCGTTTAGAACGAACCCACGTACAGCGAATTATTGTAGATATCAAACTCGCAGAAAATTTAATTTAGAATGCATGTAAATAGTATGTTTTATAACGAACAACATATTGGCTATATCGAACTTTTTCCCCCCGGGAAGGCTTCCAAAAACACGCAAACAATTGCCTTCTAGCCTGTCCCATTCCCCAACAAAGAAGTATGAAAGAAAGAAAATTCCAAAAGGTCAAGCCGTGAACAAAATTGAGCGAAGAGAAGTGATTCAGAGGGAGAGAAAGCTAAAAAATACTCGGCACACACGCACAGAAAAAACAGATCTTTTAGCACTTCGTTACAAGGAGGAATTGAAGGGATGAAAATGAAAGAGAATCTCTTGTGCAAGTTCATTGTAAATGTTTTCTGCTATATCGTACTATTTGCTATATCGAACTGATTGTAGCGTTTCCTGCTGTTCGTTATAAACGGGTTTGACTATATATGCCAAATGTTTGTTTAATTTTGTGGACTACTTATCACTTTCCCCAGAATTTAGGCATTAGGTGAACAGGTGGCAGCGGTCTCTTACGTACCTTTATATACCATAAAGTACTGAAGAATGCCCAATCAAAATGAAGCCAAATAGAAAAAAATATGAATTAAGCCGTATAAGGGAATGCAACAACAAAATTTAATTTGTAAAAAAAACGATAACTGGTGATAAGCATGGAAATAAAAAGGGGGGGGGGGGGGGGCGGCTCTACAAGCTATTTGGGACAAGAACTCTGCAACTTCAAAGTTTCCTTTTTTTCCCCCCCTGGCACAATCGCAGGTTTTAGACATCATAATAAGCAAAACCAGGTCGCCTGCATACCCACTAACTTTTTCTAATTGATACCATAGATTGCAAACACGTCAAATTCGCGTTCCACGGTGCAATAAGCACACGGGACGGGAGTTCGCTATGAACTCCCCTGTCGCGGGTATGGCAGTAGAACGCGAACACAGCGCATTCGCGCTCCACAGTACGGTACGCACGCAAGAACCCGCTACAAACTCGGGTGTCATGGGAACCAATATTGCGCGCGCAAATTGCAAAACAACAACAAAGCAGGAAAGAGTTAGGAATTTGCATGTCGCAGACTGCGGGCGCTGCAGATTCGCAGGTCATGGTGCGATAAGCACAAGGAAACCTGGGGCGAACACACTTGTCACAGGCACCGATACTGCATATTGCGCGGTTGAAGCAATTCCTGTCGGACATCGCGTGACCGATGACTGGCGGTAATCAGAGCGGGTGGGGGTGGGTGGGTAGTCACTGTTTTGGAATTTTATGTTTCGGATATTCAGCCCTAAAGTCAAGGTCAAGTTTGGGGGTCTTACGTGCCAGACCAACGACGAGCACCTAACACGCCCCAGCAGAGGAGACCAAGGAGTAATTTCGACCACATGGGGATTGGTTTCATGTGCAACCGAAAGCTCGGTTATCAGTGCCTTCTCTGCAATAAGCCTCAGTCAGATTGCGAGCATTTCAGCCAAAAGTCGAACTCACAACCTGGGTATCCGCAGGCCAGCGCTTTCGCCTCGAAGCCGGATATTCAGCCTCAAAAGCGGGATGGGGGATTTCTCGGGGGTGGGCTGTCATATGAGCCTTTACAGTATACGCGATTTAATGCGTGCAATATATCGCACCATGCAAAAAAAATTAAAAAATTAAACAACGAAACATTGTTTTAGTACTTCTGACAAAGCCAGCTATGCATGCCCCATTTTCGGATATCAGACACCTGCATGCCGTTGTTGGCCGAGCTGTGGCACTGACGGCACGAAGAAATGCGTCCAAACGAGTGCTTCAAAGGCACTGGCACGAGGAACAATAATAAGCACCAGATTTTTATTGTGTGTTGTTATTCGTCCAAATACGGTATATTTATGAACAGCAATCAAAGCATTTACTTTTCCTCGCAAACAAAACGGACTTGAGCAACCAACTCGCGCAATGTTGTCCCTCGTGCTGCTGGCGCGTGACGGCTCTTGACCGACTGTGTCTATTTACCTGGTCCTGAACAAACCATGGCCATTCTCGTTAGAAGAAAATAGGCACTTGACGCCCGTTTCCATCAAACGGGAATAACCTGTTTGGACGTCAATTGACACAACCACATCAACATGTAGCTTAAAAAAAAGAAAAAAATTTTAGCAAGTTTTGGCACAACTATTGCACTTGGGAGCAGCATGGTGCAGTGAAAGTGGAATGGCGCACAATGGCATAATTTGCACAGCACTTCCACCCCTGATCAGTGCTCAAACTTCACCAATCTGAAATGCAAACTTCATGTAGCACGATTCTTGCAGGAAAACAATTTAGTTACAGCACAAACCATAAAAATTAATGACAGCAGTATAAACAAATGATCTACCTGGATGGTGACAATGGTGGTGTGGAGGTGGTTCTAATCCATAGAAGTTTTGGAAATAAAGGACTGTTGGAATGTGTTAGTTTTACACAGGGGTACACTTTAGATGAGTGATCGAGACGGGATGAAACATAGAAAAAGGGTGTGAGAAGATGATCCAGTGTGAAATATTTTATGAAAGAGACACAATCGGGCTATTTTACGGCGCCAGGCGAGACTAGGCAAAGATAGGCAAAGTGACACTTGGAGTGTGATGATAATTACTGAGAATAAAAAGGGACAGAACGATTTTGTACAGCTTCAATGGCTCAGGTCCCAGATAGAAGACACGTATTAGAGCTTTGACCGGATGAGAGTTTTAAACAAAGTTTACTTCAATGAGAAGGGAGCAAGAGAAAAATGATGTTTTAAAAAGCCAAGCTTGCGATTATTATTATTTATCACATAGGAAATATGAGATATCCAAGGACGGTCAATGATATATGCACATCCAAGTAATTGTACAAAGACACGGAAAGTAAGGGAACATTTTTAAAATAGTTGGGAGGGCACAATTATTACACGATACTCTCATTACTTTACACTTAATTGTGTTAAACTCCATATGCCCCATTTCACACCATTGAAGAATATAGTCAATATCTGACAGGACCTGGAACACATCAGAATCATTAGCAATTTCATGGTGGATGACACAATTATCTGTGAAAAGGTTGATTGAGGACAAAATGGAATTAGGCATATTGTTTATGAAGATTAGAAAAAGCAATGGGCCCAGGAAGGAACCCTGAGGCATGCCAGAGTTTACTGAAGAGAATGGAGAAGTGCTATTATTGGCGGTAACAAACTGAAATCAATTAGTAATAGCGAGTTTGTTTCACACACACTGGTGCCGTTCGAGTTCTTTCCCAGAATGCATCACACTCGTGGAGTGTCACATGGAGATCTGGCCTCAAACAAACTTGCCAAATGCACCGAGTGCACACTGATGCTGTCACCATCTATGTTGTAGAAAGAGTATCGACTTCAGACCGAAACTAGCGCCTTTCTGTTCGCCGTGATGGGTGAGAATGCGAGTGTAGTCACTGCCAACGTTTATCTATAAACGTTGTTCTCTGCAACCTGTAGTTTATATTTGCAATTACTTCAAGCAACTCGGCTGTCGTAGATATTTACAGACGGCGTAAATTTCCGCAACCAGCCGACTACAAAGCAGCTGGTTGCAATCTTTCAATTCTTATAACTGTTTACACTGGAGAAAACTGATGATGCTGTCCGCGCAAAAGCTTGATTCGTTTGAGCATGGTATTATGCGTGAACCACTGAAAGGATACGGCTTAAAACTAGTCTGGCTTAAAACTAGTCTGTTGGAATACCCAGCAAAATGTTTCGTGTGACTTCCGATTTCGATTGTTGTTACAGGTGGATCAGATTTTAGCCTTGGTGAGGGCGTAGAAAACTAGAGCTTTCTTGAACAAAATACGACGGGGCAACATAGCTAATATAGGTAAATGTTAAACATGATGTTGGACAAGCCTCATGTAAAGTCACCATGTTTAGCTTCCTCGGATGCGTATTGGGCAGTCACGGGTTTCTGCTGGGGGACCTTTGTCGACAAATGTTAAAATGTTCACACGCACACGGATGGTGATAAAGATCTCGGGGGCCGGTGATGCGTTTGTTCCGAGCCATTTCTTTACACACTCGCATATTTCAGCATCTGTCTGGCAACAAAGCGACTAAAGCTTGCAAATAAAGCATGGGCTGTCAATTGCTTCCTTCATGAAACAGCAGAAGCTCACCACAATTCAAGCTCGCGTTTGATTATGTTGCCTGCGGGACGCAATTTCTATCAGAAGATCTACTTTTTTTCTTTCGATTCCACGGTACAAATGACACATTGTAGCAGACAAACCCTCGTTGTCTGCTCCTGCATGCTCTTCGCCGGCCTGAAGCATGATTTGATTGCATTTTGGCACACGCTCAATTTTCTCGGTGCAGCAAGTGGATGCACATGTGGGGTGCCAGCGCTGAAACCAACTCGGAAAGTGCAACCACTCACGGAGTGTCGGCCAAAACAAACCCACTCCACGCTGCGGGTGGGCACGTGTGCCGTGAAACGAACTAGCTATAAGAAAGCACTTTATCCAGGCCACAACACTAGCATCAATCAATGTGAAGGTTGTTTAGTTTTAAAAAAAATAACTCGTGTGACACTTTATTAAAGGCTTTAGAGAAATCTAAAGAAAAAAAATGCAGTCTATCTGGGACCCAGGGTCAAAAACGGAGAGCAGGTCGTGAGTAAATAATAAAAGCTGGGTTTCACGGGAGAAGTTTCCGAAAAATGTGTCAAACTGTGAAAAAAAAAAAAGAAATAACAACATTGTTAGACTTTACCAAGTTAACAACTTGAGAATAAATCACGTGTTACAAAATTTTGCATGCGACGCAAGTAAGTAAAATTTATCTATAATTGTTAGCTCAATGTTTATCACCTCCGCTGTGCAACGTAAACACCATCCCCAACTTCCAATTGTTCGGGAGGATACTGAGATCAAGTGAATGGATAAATATTTTCGACAGCGTGCAAGAACATTGTTTGTGTTTTTCAAGAATTTAGAAACAAGCACTAGATGAAATTTTGAGAGTTTTGGTTACTCTAGTAATAAGCTCCCCGGATGCAGGAAGTTACACAGGGGCTATGACCGCGGTGAACTATTAGGCAGACTAGAATAATATTTAACATACGTTTGGATTTTTGATTGTTAAAAGACTACTCATGCGCAAAAAGCGCGAAAAGTGGACGTTGTAGCAGTCTGTCAGATGAAATCACGGCCGTGAGCTGAGCCTTGTGAAATTTCAAAACTATCGCCTGACGCATCAAACGATTCAGTTTTGACAACAGTACCTGTTTGTTGAATAGGAAGTCGACAAGTGTCTGGACGCGAAACCGACTTCACTTTCACGTGCAGAGCGCAGACCCCACGATCAGCTGCCGCCTTTGTTCGAAGTTGTAGTGGTTGTAGCCAGAGCAGCCAGGGCAACCAGGGTGGTTGTAGTGGTTGTAGCCACTCAGGGCTCTGTAGCCACTGTGGTTAACTTGTAGCTAGGGGTGTCGCGAACTCTTGTCGAACCAGATTTTTAGGTCGAACTTTCGGGGTTCGAGTGAATCGACCCTGATCGAACCGGTTCGACGAACCTAATCGAGTGATGGACCAATGAGCAAAGCAAAAGCTGTCTCTGAATCGGGCGGCAACTCGCGCCACCTGGCCGTTAGAACTGAATGGGTGAATCCACAATCGCATACGTGGTCGGAGTCACCTAGCGTAAAATACCGGCAAGCGCCCACGCAAAATTTAAAGATAATCGCGAAAAAATGAAGGATGGGCGCGTGTCCGGTCATCAATTTTACTGATCAATGTACTGTGCATATTTTCTCAGAACTTACAAATTTGGGAATGGGCGCCTAATGTGGACTGGGCTGATGCGTGGTATTCTACGGAACTAGTGTAACCGCGTAACGTTCCACGGAGTTGCCTCTTTGCAGTCGGGACTGCGCGCACCTAGCGCCGAACAAATCAACTCGTATATAAAAATAAACATTTCTCCTTTGCTCAACTTATGCTACAAGTGAGATAGTCTGTGCCTGGTTACTCCCCCCCCCCCCCCCTCTTCTTTTTCTTTAGTGAAAGAGGGCGAGACAGAAAAGGAGAAAGGGCTACCGGCGCTTTCTCCCTCGCTGGGTCGTTAAAAAGAGTGAAAATCCCGGATAAGAGGTTTCGCCGGTGTTTTGTGTCTGCAGTGCTCGAACTTCGTTTGCGCTTTCTTCTCTGGTTAAACTCCCAAACCTAATTCGAGCCACGGGCTTCAAAAGCGACAGTCCCCTGGTCATCGGGACACCACTGCTCAGTTGCACGAGTGACGACAGAAAGCGTCGAATACCGTCCAAAGACCTATGTAGCTTGCAATATCTATGGTGACGAGGAGCCCATTCCATGGTTTTATGCACTATAACTAATTTCTTGGTTCAAGGGCGCAGCTACGATTTAACTTTTAATACTGCGACAGAAAAGTTGTACCAATCACGGGTGTTTTAGGCGACCTACCACACTTCACGACATTTTGATTCAGGTAAAATATGCAACTCTGATAAACAAAGGGATGTTGAGTCGTATAAATACAATGTTTTGTACATTAAACTAGACTTTCTTTTGCTGTTGTTGATACTAAATGATTGGATTTTATATCTTTGGTACATAAAAGTAAAAGCAGATTGTATGAATCATAGAAAAACGACATAGTTAACTGTTTCACGGCGGAAACAGTGCCCACTGCCAGAACAA